TTTTGAGCCATGGATTTGGTTTCAGTCAAAGCCAGAAGGCAGGGAGAATGTAGAGGGATACTTGGGTCCAGGAATCACTTTTTCCATAACTGGAAGCTAAACTCTTCGTTTGGGTGGAACATGGTTCTGCACCCACGACAATATAGGGCACAGAGAAATGAGTAGAAAATTTCAATATCAAATGTAGTGTTAGGCTTCAAAATGTTGTCTTTTAATGTGGTTTTGGATAAAGGTAAGAAAATCACACCAAAGTGCAACTCAGATAAAACAGGTAAGTAACACTATCTAGGCATCCGTGTGCACTTTTTGATGATGGTCCAGATTAATGTGAAAATAACTAGAATGGAGAGGAATGGAGGTTGCATTCAGGAAATGTGATGTTTTGGGTCATGTCACAAATCTTACTAAAAATCCAGTCCATTAGATTCTATGACAAGGGTCTGAAATGTTTAGATATTTTGTGTTTCTGACCATGGGCAGGTCAAAGCTAGGCACGCATGGTACACACCTGTAGTCCCAGCTCTCTGGGAAGCTGAGGCAGGAGGATTCTGAGCCTTGCCTGGGCAGTTTAGCAAGATGCTGTCTTAAAATAAAAAAGCTCTGAGGGTATAGCTTAGTGCAGAGGCCTTGGGTTCAATCTAAAAGGCAGGCTAAGAGGAAGATAGTAGCAGATGTCTATTTTGAAATGTTTTTGTGGAATTTAGAAGGCCAACCAAATTTTTTCAACCTGGTTATCACCCTACTGTCATGGAAGCATGTTTAGAATCAGTAGGCAAAAGAAAAAGTTGTCTCTCTCTCTTTTTATTTTTATTTATTTATTTATTTATTCAGACAGGATCTTACTAAGGATTCTGGGTTGGCCTGGAGCTCACTGTGTAATCCAGGCTGGTTTGGCCTCAAATTCATATGGCGATCCTCTTGCCTCCGTCTCTGGAGTACTGGAATTACAAAGGGTCCCACCATGCCTGGCCCAGAGACATTTTAAAGAATGAAAGGGATTAGTTAGTAAATGGGAACTACTATTTGCTGGCCGTTTTTTTTTCTTTTGGCAATGCTGGGGATCAGACCCAGGGCTTTACACATGCTAGACATGTGGTTTGCCATGGCCCCTCCCTTGGGCATTTTTGATGTGATAGTACTTGACTTATTAATCTCATTAACTTGGACAACACCCTTTATGGTAGGTACTATTTTCACATTTTATGTAAAAGGAGAGGCTGAAAGGATAATTACCCTTACATAAGTCACATATAGTGATTAATTAGAATGCCTAGCTCCGAAATTTGTCTCCCACCTCATTTGGCTGCCTTCCAAAAAGCTGGGAAGGAGATGGAGAAACATATTGGCATACTTTTGTGAATCCAGCACTCAGGAGGCTGAGGCAGGAGGATCACTGTGTGTTCCACCCCAGCCTGGGCTGCAAAGTGAGTTCAAGGCCAGCCTGAACTGCATAGTGAAATCCTGTCTCAAAAAGACACAGAGAGAGTGGGGCTGGGGATTTAGCTCAGCGACACAACGCCTGCCTGGCAAGTGCAAGGTCATGAGTTCGATTCCTGGTACTGGAAAAAAACAAAAAAAAAAACAAAAAAAAAAAAAAAAAAAAAAAAAAAAACACACACAGAGAGAGAGAGAAACAGACAAACAGACAGACAGACACAGACACAGACAGAGAGGGACCAGCCTGGGCTACGTAGTGAGTTAAAGTTCAGCCTACATAGCGAGATCCTGTCAACAAAATAAGACAAAATGCTAGATGGGAGAGAAGTAATTGACTTTAAATTGTTAAGTACCTATTAGATTTTTTCCTGTATACTTTTCCCCTTTCTCAGTTATGTGCAAGAGACTAAAAACTCGTTTCGTTTTGTTTTTGGGATATGGTCTCACTATGTAGCCCAGATCAGCCTTGAACTTGAGATGATCCTCCTGCCAAGGCCTCGCAATGCTGGGATTTCAGGCCTGTGCCACCACGCCTGGCTCAAAACTAAGAACTTTCTTTTCCTTTTATTACATTAAAAATAACCAGTGCTCAGTACTTCTGGTTATAGTTACTTATATTGGGGAATATAAATCTGTCCATGATAATAAGCCTTTTCTGGGACTGCAGACTGCACGAATGAAGATTACATAAGGGGTCATTGTCAGTGTCAGAAGGCAGTATGCTGGTTAGGCAGCTCTCTGGTCCCTGTTACTGCTCAGTTATGTCAGATGTTTCTGAGATGTTTCCTTCCTTGCCTCCTGGCCAGATACAGAGGAGGGCATAGTCCGGATTGGAGCTTAATAGTAGGTAGTCAGAAGCAGGCTGACCTGATTTCCAGTGATGGCTCCCCTGTAGTTGTGGTGTAACTTATTCAAGCTTGAGCTTCCTCATCTTTTTGTTTATTTATTTAAGGTGCTGGGGAGTGAACCCACAGTGTGCAGTGTGCTAAGCACTTGCTGTACTACTAAGCTACACTTCAGCAAATTTCCTTATCTTAAAATGGGACTATTATTTCTTCCCTTATAAGGTTGATCTGGAAATAAGTAACACACATGAAATACTCACCACAGCACCTGTTGGTTGACAGGTACTTTGTAAATCCTCACTGTTTTCCTGCCTCTCCTGAACTGACATATTCCAGATGGAGCTTTCAGGATCTGGACAAGCCATAGCCTCATCTGTGCTAGTTAGAGACTCATGTCGGTATCTGGTGCAGTGGGTGCTCCGTAAATGTTAGGTCAGTGAAGGAATGGAGAGTAAGCGCATCTGCGGTGTGCAGGCCCCAGTCATGCTGCTTTTCCTTTTGCTGAGATTCTTTTTTTTTTTTTTTTTAATGATACTGGTAATTGAACCAAGGGCCTTCTACCAAAGAGCTGTATGCCTAACACTATTTATTTATTTATTTAATTTTTAAAAAGACAGTCTTGCTTTACAGCTCATGTTGACCTTAAACTCACTATGCAGTTTAGGCTGGCCTCAAATTCATGGCAGCCCTCCTGCCTTAGCATCCCAAGTGCTGGGATTACAGGTGTGTGCCACCCTGCCTAGCTGTTTTTATTTTGGTGCAGTCTTGCATAGTTACTCAAGATGTCTTCAAACTTGCAATCCTCCTGCCCCACCCTCCCAAGTAACTGGAAGTGCAGGCATTCGGCACCAAATCCCAGTCTTTTACTGATAGCCTTGCAAAGAGGGGGATACAGTTGATTGTAAGTCCCTTGTCTTATCAGGGAGGGACTTCATTGTCACTCTTGACAATTTATTTATCTCAAGTTTCTAGGGAAATAAAGGATTCCTGTCCTTTCGCTGAAACTTGGTTAATAAGTATCTGAATCAACATCTTCTGATTATTGTTCATATAAACATATATGTGGCCAAACTTGTCCAGATTCCGTTCTTGAATACCTTCAGCATAAGCCAGTTGTATTATCAGCGTGATTGTGAGTCTGGCCATGCCCCAGATTTGTAGATTCTGCTGAAGAGTCGGTTGGTTTGAATTTTTTTGTACTAAGAATCGAATTCAGGACCTCATGGTTTGAATCTTTTTATCAAAAATTTCTTCTTGAAATTAAAATCATTGCTTAGCAGAAAAGTCTGAAACCAGAAGAAAGATTTCTCTACTCCTAAAACTAGAATTTTCAATGCATCTTTCCTCTTTTCCTCCCTGTCTCCCTCTTTTGGATATGGTGTGATATTGGGGATTGAACCCAAGGCCTCACACTGAGCTACAATCCCCAGCCCTTTTATTTTTTGAGATAGGGCTGCTCAGGCTGCCCTCAAGCTTGCGATCTTCCTGCCTTGGCCTGCAGAGTAGCTGGGATTTTAAGTGTGCGCCACTGCACCCACCACTGTGAAGTTTTTTAAAATTACGAAGTCCTAGGCTTTTGGACCTTTGATTCCATGTAGTGCGCACTGTGAAGCATCATGAGAGGCTGTGGAGAGCAGTGGTTAGGAGCGGAGCCTACACCGTGCATCTCTGGTCACATCTCTTCCTCTGCCTCAGTTTCCCATCCACAAAATAAGGGTAGTACAGTACCCACCTCAGCGTTGCTGTGAGCATTTAGTGTATCTGTACACACACATGTGTATGTGCGTGCGCACTGAAAGTAGTTAGCACAGTGCTGGCAATTGGATATTACCATTATGCACTGACGCCACTGAAACAGGCTCGTCTGATTTGGACTGTCAAAAATAACTGTTCCGTTTTCAGGCTTTGGCAGAGGTATTTTTTTGTTTGTTTGTTTGTTTTGTTTTGTTTAATAGGGAAGCAGCTGGGCATAGTGGCGCATGCCTGTAATCCCAGCACTCGGGAGGCTGAGGCAGAAGGATCGTTGCAGGTTCGAGATCAGCCTGGGCTACAAAGTGAGCTCAAGGCCAGCCTGAACTGCATCGCGAGACCCTGCCTCAAAAAGACAAAAAATAAAATAAAATAAAATAAACAGGGAAACCAGGCGTGGCGACGCATGCCTGTAATCCCAGCACTTGGGAGGCTGAGGCAGGAGGATCATTTTGAGTTCGAAGCCAGTTTGGGCTACTTAAGTGAGTTCAAGGCCATCTTGAACTGCATAGTGAGACCCTGTCTCAAAAAGACAAAGCAAAACAAAATAAAAACAGGGAAAACCCTGGACCTTTGCACTGAGCTATATCCTCACCCCCTTTTTATTTTTTTTATTTTGAGATTGGGTGTTACTGAGGCATTAAGTTGCTCAGACTAGACTTGAACTTGTGATCCTGTTGTCTCAGCCTCCCAACTATATCCCCACCCTTTTTTATTTTTTATTTTGAGACACAGTCTGAGTTGCCAGGTACCCAGGCTAGATTTGAACTTGGCATCCTCCTGCCACACCCTGCAAGAGTATTGGGATTGTAGACCTTTGCCACTGGCCTGGTTATAGTTTTCTTAATGACTGCAGAAAGCATCCGCTAACCTCCCTAGCCTGAGTTTTGATATTACATTCTCTGACTTCATAGCTAAAAGGGCTTCTCTTTTCCTTTTTGAATAAGTGACCTTTCTTGGTTGTTTCAGGGGCTCAACTAGGTGCAGCTGCACAGTCTGTGGACCCAGAAGTTTTATCAGCAGTTAAATCTGAAATTGAAGAAGAGCTAAAATCCCTGGACAAAGAAATTTCTGAAGGTCTGTTTATTCTTACTTTTCCTAACTAATTATCAGGTTCTGTTTGGTGTGGCTTACTGTTGACTTACTTTGATGTTCGGAGGAGGAGATTCTCAGCACTGTGTAACCTCGCTGGTATGGGGTTGTAATGGTGAACCTAGAAAGTAGTCTTTTTTTCTTTCCTAGGAGATATGTTTATAAAATTTAACAATACTAAAGGGAAAAAAGTAAGAAAGCTCTTCTCATTTTTGCATGCATATATGCTATAGTTACAATTATAATTATTATTTTGTGGCCACATATTTTGTACCTAGCACCATCCTACTTGTGTGTGTGTGTGTGGTGCTGGGGATCAGACCCAGGCCCTGTGCATGCAAGGCAAGAACTCTAGCACTGAGCCACATCCCCAGCCTGTCATCTGCTTTTTTATAGACAGGGTCTCACCATACAGCTAGGCTGGGCTGGCTTCATACTCACTATGTAGCCCAGGCTGGCTTTGAATTCGCAGTCCTCCTGCCTCACGCCTCCCAAGTACTAGGATTGCAGGCGTGCACCACCACGCCGGCCTTTCCTTTATTGTTGAAGGGAGCGTCTGACTTGCTTTTTGTCTTTCCTTCCATAAATAACAGCATTAACTATCTCGGCTGTGGTCACTTTGCTCACAGTACCTCTCCTGTATCGTCCAGCATGCACTTTCATCCCGTTTTCTTCCTCTTTTGCTGGGCCCAGCTTCACTGTGCAGAGCCAGTTTCTCCCTCACTCTTCACTTTTGCTTAAAACAAAAACAATAACAACAACAAACTACACACACAACTTAAATAACACTCCATTAAATATCTTGCCTAGTCATTTTTTTTTGCTATTGCTGACTGGCCCCTTGATGAGTGCCATCCGCCTTCCCCAGGGAACTCGGGGCTGAGGGCGGAGCGAGCAGAGGCTGCTCAGGTCTGTGTTGTAGTGCGCAGCCTCCCCCTCCCGGCTCATCTGCAGCCCTAGGCGTTTGCTGCGGGGAGGGCTGCCTGGTCTCAGTCACTGTCCTTGTCTGCTCCCTGCTATGGAGTCCACAGTGCAGGGTCAGAAGGTAGTCATTATCTATAGCTTTATTGAGGTATGTATATTTCATGTACCCTAAAGTTCACCCATTTAAATAGTGCGAGTCAGTTGTTTTTAGTAGTCACAGAATTGTACACCCATCCCTACAATCTAAATTTAGAATACTTTAAACACTCCAAAAAAACCTTGTACATATTAGTAGTCGCTTGCCTTTCCTATTGCGGTAGTCCCTAACCCCAGCCCCACCCAAGACAACCACTGATCTGCTTTTTATTTCTGTGGCTTTGCCTGTTATGGACTCATAGTCATTGGCTATTATGTATAATGCTACTATGAATAAATGGACTCTGTGGTCCTTTGTGACTCGCTTCTGCTGAGCATAATGTTTTCAGGGGTCACTCGTGTTGCAGTAGGTATCAGTACTTCTTGCCTTTTGTAGCTGAATAATTTTCCATTGTGGGGATACATCACATTTTACCCATTCATCCGTTGATAGAGATATTTAAGTTGTTCCTCCTCTTTGGCTATTACATAGAGTGCTGCTATGAATATTCTTGTGTAAGTTTTTAAGTGGACATATATTGTGCAATAATTTGTTTTGTTGTGTTGAGACAGGGTCCTGCAGTGTAGTCTAGGCTGGCCTTGAACATGCAAACCTCCTGCTTCCACCTCTCTTACTATTTTTTTTCCCTGCAGTGCTTTGGCTCAAACCTAGGGTTACATGTATGCGAGGCAAGTGTTCTACCACTAAGCTACACACCCAGCCTTGCCCAGTAATTTTTAAGGAACGAATTTGTAAATTATGTTCATAAATCAGTTCCTTGTTGGTAGAGAGAGAATATAAAATTTGCAAATAACCAAAAAACCTTAGTCTTCTTTTATATATATATATATATATATATATATTTTTTTTTTTTTGGTATCAAGAATTGAACTCAGGACCTTGCACTTGCCAGGCAGGCACTTGTGCCACTGAGCTGTATCCCCGGCCCTTTATATTCTTTTTATCAACATTTTAACTAATTAAGTTTCCAATTCCCTCTTAAGCCTGTATGCACATTCTGTTTTTTGTTTTTTGTTTTTTTCTTTTTGAGACAGGGTCTCGCTATGCAGTTTAGGCTGGCCTTGTGCTCACTTTGTAGTCCAGGCTGGTTTCAGACTCACAGTGATCCTCCTGCCTCAGGCTCCCGAGTGCTGAGATTACAGGCATGCGCCACCACGCCTGGAGCACACATTCTGATGATACTGTTTCTTTTTTTTTGGTACTGGGAACCGAACTCAGGATCTTGCGCTTGCCAGGCAGGTGCTGTGCTACTGAGCTGTATCCCTGGCCCTGATGATACTATTTCTTTGTAATAAAGTAGGCGAAAGGCAGAAAGGAATGAAGAAGAACGAAGACTTAAATCCATTTAGTTACTGAGTCCTGTATTACCCAGCCCTGGTCATTAAAATAGATTTTTTTTTTTTTTTGTTTAAGGGAGGAAGAAAAGTCTATTGCAGCTCATAGTCTGTGGAGGTTTCAGTGCATAATTGGCTGACTAGCTCCGTGGCAGAGCAGCACGGCAGAGGGGCATCACAGAGAGAAACAACTTACGGCAGACAGAAGGCAGCAAAGCACAGAAGTAGAGAAGCAGCAGCAGCCTCAAACGGATACTCTTAAGCTTGCTCAGAAAACAAAATTATTTGTGAACTTTGTAGTCATTTGTGTCTTTCTTAGAGATAAGGGTATAGTAAATTTTGCATTTTTTTAAAATTTTGCTGTCTTGTACCAGCAAGCCTTAGATCAATATAATGCATATCTTACGAGGGTAATTGGTAACTCGTAGGAGCAGGTGCAGGCGTGTGTACTGGGATTCCGTTCCCTGCACCCAGTTTATATCTTGGAACAGCGGTCATCCTGGCTGCTGTTCCTGTAGTCGGGGAACGGACAGGTCGCTGTAACACGAGATTAGGAATTAGAGGGGCCGGGGATACGGCTCAGTGGCGCAGCGCCTGCCGGGCACATGCAAGGTCCTCAGTTCAATTCTTGGTACCGCCCCCTCCAGAAAAAATTTAGGAATTAGAGAAGCTGCTGGATTGCTGTTTGTGGTACTGGGGATTGAGCACAAGGCCCTTGTGTATCCTCAGCTCTTTTTTTAATTTTTTATTTTTGAAGTAGTTTCATTAAATTGCTAAATTACTCAGTCTGTGCTCAACCTACCAGAGTACTGGGATTACCTGCGTATGCCACCATGCCTGACTGAGAAGCCGGTCATTTAAACTGAGGAGGAATAGGTTACATAGCTCCTTCCATGCTTCGCTTTTATATTTGTCTAACTGCCATAATTTTAAATTTTGTTCATGTGCAATAATTTTGAATTAGAAAGTTTATTTTAATATGGGAATGAAAGCTGGGCATGGTGGCACATGCCTGTAATCCCAGCACTCAGGAGGCTGAGGCAAGAGGATCACTATGAGTTTGAGGCCATCCTGGGCTACATAGAAAGTTTAAGGCCAGCCTGCACTACAGAGCAAGATCCTGTCTCAAAAAAACCAAAAAAAAAAAAAAAAAAAAGGCGAGGTGGGGGATAAGGAAAGCAGTGGACTCATCTTCTGAGATGGGATAAACTGATTAAAGTCTGGTTTATGTACCACATCTATGTTTCTTGTTTTTTGTTTTGTTTTGTTTTGTTTTGGTTTTGGTTTTTCTCCGGTACCAGGAATCAAACTCACAACCTTGTGCTTGCCAGGCAGGCGCTGTGCCGCTGAGCTAAATCCCCAGCCCTGTGCCACATTTATGAAGGTTAAAACAGAATCTTAAAAATAAATACTAACAGAGGAGCTAGATGATAGAACTAGGAGTTGCATGGTGCACGTCTGTAATCCCAGCACTCCGGAGGCTGAGGCAGGAGGATCGTTGTGAGTTCGAGACCAGCCTGGGCTAAAAGTGAGCTCAAGACTAGTCTAAAATGCATAGCGAGACCCTGTCTCAAAAAGACAAAAAAGAACTAGGAGTTGCTTCTCATTTATTGTTCCTGTACTAAATGGATCAGTGTTGTAAATTAAACTGATTAAAGGTTGGTGTTTTTTTTTTCCTGGGACTAGGACACAGGCCTATTACATGCGGCTACCAATGAGCTATACCTCTAGTAACGTTAGTATATTTTTATATGTCAGTTTAATTGTTTTCTTCTCTCTAAACTAAGATTTTAAGAACTATCAATCTTTGTGTCCGAGGTAAGATTAATACCTGTAATGACTATCTGACCCTTCTTCTGCTATAGTACTGGAGATTGAATGCAAGGCCTGACGTATGCTAGTGTTCTGTTAATGAGCTACCCCAGGCCCTGTACGGCCTTTAAGTGGTCTGTAACTAGTAACTTCCCCCAAGGTCTATGTTAGACCATGGGAAAATGTTTGATACTGTTAATCAAATTAGGTTTCTCTTTTGCCCTGTCTTCAGCCTTCACCAGCACAGGCTTTGATCGTCACACTTCTCCCGTGTTCAGCCCTGCTAACCCAGAAAGCTCAATAGAAGATTGCTTGGCCCATCTTGGAGAAAGAGTGTCCCAAGACCTGAAAGAGCCTCTGCGTAAAGCACTGCAAATGCTCCTCAGCCAGTGAGTTACCGTTGCTGAGGGGGAATGTGCCTCTCTGTGTGGTCTCTGGCTGGCGTGGTGAAGGCTTGTCTTTAGGTGAACAGTGTCACTTTTCTTCGGTTTTTCTTCTTTTGCTTTTCCAAAGCAGGTGCTTGTGTTTTGAATGCCTTGCTTCACAGCAGTGCTTTAACTGTTCCGACATAGATTTTGTGGTTTGTATGTACTTGTTCAGCCATCGGATTTCGACAGATGTGTTTATAACATGGTAAACACAAGCTGTTGCACTTGACCTGACCACTTTTTACTGCCATTCCTGCTAGTGGCCACCATAAGTAAAATGGCTCAGGTTTTGTGCATTGTAAGGTGAGATTAATATTATCTCAGTACCTTACATATCTATCTTTAACATTATATCGGATCCACATGGTGCTTAACTTCGGGGCTGCATGTGTGCCCGTGAAACTGTTTCTGCAGTCTTAGAGAGGGCTTCCTTCATAGATGTGGTTCTCACCATATTAAAGCTGATGAAGCTAGAAAAATGAAAGTAGATTAAAACATATTAATTAATTTGTTCTCAATCTGTTTTTGTTTGTTTGTGTTTGTTTTGGTGGTACTGGGGATTATGGTACCAGGCCTTTGCGGTTAACTACATTCCGAGCTCTTTTTTATTTTGAGACAGGGCCTTGCTAAATCACTGAATTATTCAGGATGCACTCCAATTTGCCATCCTTGTGCCTCCGCCACCCAAAAAGTGCTGGGATTATTAGTATATACCACCGTGCCTAGCTTGTTTTAAATCTTAAAAATCAATTTCTCCTAGTTTTTTTTTTTTTTAACAAATTATTAAGGAGTTGGTATGAATTTGAGAAGTACTTATTCTAATGAAGATTGACAACTTTATAAAATAGGATGAACTCTTCCTTACTAAATGGGCTGAAATTCAGATGCCAAATCTCTGTGGTGATATGGTAATCCCTTACTTCTAGGTAGGTAGAGTTTGTAGTTCACCCTTTGTTCAAAGGCAGTCATTTGGGTTTTAGGAGAGCTCAGTTTGTTTCTGCATATTCTGGTAAAATGAGCAAATGTGCAAACCCTGACTCTACAGAGTAACATTAGAAGCACTGTTCTAATTTGTTTAAGGCAAAAATACTAAAATATTTTAAAACTAAAGAAATATGTCACTGGTGTATTTTTTCAAACTGAGGATGGGAGGAGTTGGAAGAAGGGCAATACATTGTGCCCTATTTTTAGCTTGAAATCTTACCCTATAAAGTCCTGGAGGGCAGAGAGATTAGCCTTTCTGATAATTTGCACGTGAGCACTCCTCACACCAGAACCCCAAGTTATTGGGTGATGGCAACACTCAGGTTTCCTAATTTGTGGAAGAACTTCAGGTACTATGTTTGAGCACTGGCTTCATGTGTAAATTAGACCAAACAAAAATGTGATACCATGTAACTGAAGAGATCAGTAGCTTGGGTAGTAGATTCACTGAAACTTACCCACACATAGGTTTTGTGAAAAGTATTCATAGACTGCAAAAAAGAATGGGGGAGCTTTGCTTGTGGAATTTAAAAATTCTGTTTCAAAGACAGTTCCTGCTCTGACCATTCTGATCTGTGATTTCCTCAGTCTATGAATGTTTAAGATGATACAGGTATAACTTACTTCTTGCTTACTGTACTAGGTGTTACATTACATCATGTGCTGTCATTTTACACATTAGGAATCAAAGCTCAGAAAAGCTAGGGGACTATCCCAAAACCACGTAACTGGCAAGCAGCAAGGTAGGAATTTACACCCACATAGATCTGGTTAGGGCTGGGGATTTAGCTCAGTAGCACAGTGCCTTCCTGGCAAACGTGAGGTCGTAAGTTCGATTCCCGGTACCAAAAAATCCCCCAAAACCAAAGAAACACAAAAAACCAAATAGATCCTGCTCCAGAGGCCATGCTGCTGTCAGTTCAAGTTGGGATTCGGACTCATGCCACAACAGTATCTGAATGCCACATGTGGCTAATGAGCATCTGAAATATCTGTGTTGTGTAGAAAGTGTAATATACACACCAGATTTCAAAGAGCTAGTAAGAAAAAAAGAGGCCTGGGGATGTAGCTCAGCGGTAGAGTGTTAACCTAGTGTGGGAGGTCCTCTGTTCAGTTGTCAGCGGCTGTGTGTGTGGGTGTGTGTGTGTGTAAAACATCTCACTAATAGTTTTTTTATATTGAGCTTTTTTGAAATGATATTTTGAATATACTTTGCTAAAATATGTTATTATACTTGGAAAAATCAGTTTTTAAAATGTGGCTTCCAAAAGTTTTTAAGTTATATATATGTGATTGGCATTATATTATTTAGGTAATTTTACTTGTTACCTGAGTCTCTGTCAGTAATCCATGTAATTACCTGCAACACAGAAGTTCTACTAAATAAGTTCTAAGTAATTATAAAGAATTTATTAGTGCTGGGCACATTGGGAGTACACGTATAATCCTAGCTTTTGGAGAGGCTGAGATAGAAGGATCACAGGTTTGAGCCCAGTTTGAACAACTTAGCAAGACTGTTTAAAAAATAAAAGGACTGGGGATGTAGCTCAATGCAAAGGCTCTGGTTCAATCCTCATTACCACAGGGGGGAAAAAAGTGCACTGCTATGTTAGCTACTTTCCCAAATGTGCATCTTGGCCTATAGGATGCCTGGAAAAATGTATATACCCAATATTGAAAGCTATATCTTGTTTAAAGGAGTATGTTAAGTAGCCCTAGTCACTTCAGCACAAAGTTCAACAATAGGATAGTACTGGTATTTGTATATTAATTCATGTGGAAATTTAGAATTTTCCTTTTTTGTGACACAGACTTTTAAAAAAATCCCTACAGGCCAGTGACATATCAGGCATATCGCGAATGTGTACTGGAGACTGCAGCTCATGCCAGCGGCTGGAATAAGGTAGTAACCAAATTATCTTTACCTTTATGAGATTTTAGTGTGCCAGTGATGAAGTATAGGAGGAATTGGTTAGCATCATGCAACAGGAAACTGTTAGAACTCATTAATGTATAAATCCAGCTGTGTTACATGGACACTTGTGATTTCACTGGTGTTTGGTTTAATGCTGCGATGGGTTTTTTTGCCTCAATAAGGGTGTCCTGTCTTCTCTGCGTTAGACATGTTTGTCCCCAGATGGTTGTCAGTGTGTGAATATGTCTCAGAGAAGAGTAAAGTCTCTATTTGGAAGGTAGACTCTTCTACTACTCTCATATAACAATAGCGTTTGTGTTTTACAGTTTACATGTTGCATCTTGTTTGATCATCACAGCCATCCTTTGAAGAAGGCAGATAGGTTTTATTAGCTTTAGTGTTGTTATTTATTTACTTTAGACAGGAGACTAATGAGAAGAAAGAATTAACATTTAATTTCTGGACCTCTTGACTAGTAACTGTGGGAACTAGCACTAGAGTGCAGGTCTTCTGATTCTAGCCGCAGTGTTTTTTGTAGTGTATTGTAATACTAATCCACTATCTTAGACTTTATTATCTACTTCCAGTTACTTGAAAAGGCAGAGTATAAGGGGATGTAATACGAGGAAGTATGGCTCTGAGTGATCAGTTGTGAGGGATGAGAAAATTCGGTACAGTTACTGTTACAGATAGCCACCTCTACTCAGAGCTGTTTGTAGTCACCCCCGTACAGTCCTCTGTATCCGTGGGGGATTGGTCCCTGGACCTCTCAGATATCACAATTCTTAGATGCTCAGTGCCTTGTATCAAATGATGTCGTGTTTGCATGTAACTATGTGTGTCTTCCCATTGTATAAATTAGCTCTAGATGGCTTACAATATCTAATGCAGTGTAAAATGCTGGGTAGAGTTATATATTGTGTAGTTTAGAGAATAATGAGAAGGAAAAGGGTGTGTATGTTGTGGGTTTTTTTTCCCAGATATTTTCAATCCAAGGTTGGAGGTAGAACCTGAGAATATGGAGGGTCACAGGGGTGACTGTGTGACCACATGTGCCTGATGGATAGATTTTGAGTACATAATCGGACTTGTTCACATGTCAGCTCCTAAATGTTTTTTTTTAAACATAACATTGTATGTTCTTAGTACAGCATGCTGTTTTGCAGTATATATACATTGTAGCATGGTTAAACCCAGCTAATTAACAAATCTGTTTCTTAACAGAATTATCATTTGGGGATGAGGCCATGTAACATCCACTGTCTTTACATTTTTCAAGAATACAGTATATTCTCTTAGCCATCACCACTGCTCTACAGTGAATCTCTTGAAACTTATTCTAAGTGTAATTATGTGAGTTTTGATTATTGTTTCCCAGTCCCCCTCTCCCTGTAACCACCTAGCCTCTTGTAGTTACCCGTGTATTTTCTCTGAGATCAGCTTTTTTATGTGTTAGTTTTGCTGCAGACTAAATGTGTGTATTTGGGCAGGTTAATTAAGCTTTCTGAGTCTTCATTTTCTCATCTGTGAAATGGAGGCAGTACTGTTGACTTCATACATTTTACCAGAATTAACTTAGATACTGCATGTTAAGTAGTACATCATGTGGCACCTTAGTATTTGATTTATACTATCTGAAGAGAAATCAGAGTGTTATGAATATGGAGTAAACAGCAGCTGTTGTACTAATTTTAACATACATGAAATCTTGTTCCCAAGTACAGCATGTGTCCCTCAGTGATGAGGGAGTGCTGGGAGAAATGCATCTTTAGGTGACCTGGTTGTGAGGCTACAGTGTGCTACAGTGTCACTAGATACTGTCGTACAGGAGCACTGTTACAGATGTGGTCTGCTCTCAACTGGCACGTTGTGCGCTGTTCACGACGGTTGTCACTGTTAGGGAGTTTTAATGTTATTAGCAGCATATAAGTTAAAATGAGCTTAAGTGTGATGACGTTTCTTAGTATACCAGGCATCGAGTACTCAGGTATCTACTGTCACTAGTTTTCTTCCCCTACCTGTTCTTTTTTAGTTCCAGGGATCGAACTCAGGACCTCGCACTTGCCAGGCAGGTGCTGTGCCCCTGAGCTACACCCCTGGCCCTTCCCCTGCTTTATACTCCCTCCTGTCACACCCGCATAGTGTAGCTAATTCTAGGGTAGTTAATTCTCCCGTGCCCTGCCCTCCACCCTCAGTCGTGAGGTTATTGTGAGAAATCTGAGTCAGCCTTGGTCTTTACCCTCTTTCTTCGTCCTTCCTCTTCCTGCATTCCTGTTTGTTTTTGTCCCTCATCTGGACCAGGGTGCGCGCGTTGACCTTCAAGGCTGTGGCCTGACTGCTTCATATAATGCGAGGTGCCAGGTAAAATACTACTTGGTTTGCTGAGTCATCCTCTGAGTCCTGAAGGGCTGAAAAGAACCTGGGTTATGCCCCTCTCCTTCCTGTTCCAGCTAAATCCGAGTGGCTAGTTGGAAAGAACTAGCTCATATTTGATGTTGAGCGTGATGTTCGCAAATGTTTTCTTGTCTTTAGTATCTTGTGCTGCCAGTTGAAGGGGGACACTGCAACATGTACAGTGTCACCCAGAAGCAGTGTTCTCACTGTGCCCTTGTGTGTGTACACGCGTGCTGGGAATTACAGCCAGGGCCTCCTTCGTGGTAGACAAGCACTTTATCTGCCACCAAGCCATATCGTTAGCACTTTTTAAATTTGAGACAGGGTCTTCCTAAGTTGCCCAGACGGGCCTTGAACTTGGAGTTACTTTGCCTCAGCCTCCTGAGTAACTGGGATTATCTATAGACAGGTGTCATCACACTCAGTCACTCCGTCCTTTCTCGATGGCTCAGTGGTTCATTAGCAAAAAGCCCACTGGGGTTTTAAGAGAGGGAGCAGCATCAAATTTTTAACATCAAGTTTATACCGGTAAAACTCCCTGGCAAGTAATGAAAAGCAGTGAAAATACCCACAGAGAGAAAAGAAAACGTGTGCGCAGAGCATGGCAGGTTGGAGAAAACTGAGTTCATTTGTAAAAGGCTTTTCCCCCTCATTTTATTTCCTTTTTTTAAAAATCAGTACGCATTTGCCATACATAAAGAGCACATTCATCCTAGGGAATTTGTCCCTGTACGTGAGGCATCTTAACGTTCCTTTTTTCCCACTCCCCTCCCCTGCCTCCAAACCCTTCTTCCCCTCCCCAGTCACGAAGGCTTTGTTTCCATTTTTTTTCTGCCATTCCCTTGTTCCACTCTTCCCTTCCTTCCCTCCCCTGCCTGCTGCTGAAGGGCTTTTAAAGGCGTCTTTGTAGAAGGCTCTTTTAAGATATCAAAGAAAGGGGAGGAAAAAAGTTGGTCACACAGCAGTATTAACAATGTAATGTTTGTTTAAAAAAGGTACCTGCATGGAATAGGGGTGTAGCTCAGCAGCAGAACCTGTACTTAGTATATGTGAGGCCCTGGGTTAAGTCCCCAAGATTCCCCCAAATTGTACATGTGTATATGTCAAAGATGGATGCCTAGAGAAAGAACTGGAGCGACATGCACGTATAAATTTATGTACCGGGCCCTGAGCCCGGGGGCACTCTTCCCCTGAGCTGCATCTCCAGACCTTCTTATTTGTTGAGACAGGGTCTCTGCGTTGCCCAGGCTGACCTCGAACCTGCCATCCTCCTGGTTCTGCCTCCCAAGCAGCTGGGATTACAGGCCTATCTCAGCCTACCCAACTGTGCCAAAGTAGTCAATAGTATTATAGTTATCTCAGAGTTACAGGTGATTCACACTCCCTTTGTGGACATTATTTTTCCTTTGTACTTACCTGCTTACAGGAAGAGAAAGGAGAATATGACCATTAAAGAGGAGTAACTGGGAAAAATGTCAGTGGGGCTGCATGATGTTCATAGAATAACAAGTGGGCTTTCAAAAATACATAGCAAAGGTAGATTCTTTTGCTTAGTTTATTTTTAGTGGCATATTAAATACCTAATATTTTCAAGTCTCTTACTGAAATTTCAAGCGCACACAAAAACAGAATAGTACAACAAACCCATACGTCTGTCACTTAACTTTACTAATTATCAGTGTATGGGTGGCCTTGTTTCAGTTGTTCTGCACTCCTTCTCTTCCCCCAGATCACATAATATTTTATTCTTTTTTTCTTTCTTTTTTTTTTTTTGGTCTTTTGAGACAGGGTCTCGCTATGCAGTTCAGGCTGGCCTTGAGCTCACTTTGTAGCCCAGGCTGGTCTCAAACTCACAATGATCCTCCTGCCTCAGTCTCCTAAGAGCTGGGGTTACAGGTGTGCGCCACCACGCCCGGCCCATATTTTATTCATAAAACACATCGTTATATATTTCCCAATCTCCTTCCCGCTTAATTTTTTTGCAGTGTTGAGGATTCAACCCAGTGTCTTGCACATGGTTTAGTCTCAACCTCTGAACCGTACCCACCTTGACCATGAATTCTTTTCTTGAGCCAGGGTATCTGGCCTTGAACTCACAATGATTCTCCTACCTAAGCCTCCTGAGTGCTGGGATCATAGGTGTGTACCACTATGCCTGGCCTAACACAAGGGGCATTTAATTTATTTCGGGCTGCAGTTCTTTTAGAATGTCAAATGGTGAAGACATGTGTTTGTTGCATTCTTTCTTCTAAACTTGACTACAGTTTCCCTGAGGGTTGCTTTTACTTCAAAGCCATAGAATATTAATATGAAGTATAAACTCATTTTTTTGTTTGTCCTTTTCCACAAAAATATTTTGTTGTCCCTCAGTTATTTCCTTGCTAATCCAGTAAAAGAAACTGAAATTGGTTTCATTTCCTTGAGCATTCCTTCTCCAGTCATCTGGAGGCCTCGTGGTGTTTTAGACAAGAGATTGCATGCAGGTGTAGTGGGAATACCTACATTTTTCCTTTCTGAAGTGTCAGAGATCAAGTTCAGGGCTTTATACATCGTAGACAAACGCACTCTCAGGTACATCCGCAGCCCTTAAGGTTTTTTTAATGTGCATTAAATTTTTTTCTTTTTAATTTTTTTTATTAATTTTTGTAGACAGGGTCTCACTCTGTAGTACAGGCTGGCCTTAAACTTGCTTAGGTTGCCCAGGCTGGCCTCAAATTTACAGTGATCCTCCTGCCTCCGCCTCCCACGTGCTGGGATTATAGGCATGCACCACCACTCCTGCTACCTACTATGCATTTTAAAGGAAGACAACAAACTCTAGTTTCTGGCATAAGTTTTGATGACTTTTAAATATTGGGCATAGAGTTATTATGTGTAAATTATGATACCTCCATTATATTTGATTTTTGATGAGTTTTATGAGATACAATAATTTTTGAAAGGTCTTTTGAAATAATATAAGGATATATGGTAACATACAAAAAGTGTAGAAAGATGTGAATCAAAAAATAAGTTTTTTGCTACGCATGGTGGTACATGCCTATCATCCCAGCACTCAGGAGGCTGAGGCAGGAGGATTGCTGTGATTTTGGTACACAGTGAGTTCAAGGCCAGTGTGAACTACATAGCGAGACCCTGTCATAAAGAAAAGTTTTCTCACCTGTGTTGTCAGGCACCTTGTTCCATCCTCTCAAGTAACCACTGTCTCCGGTTTTGTGTGCGTTTGTTTTCAGAGATGTGTATGTGTGCACGTGATTTGTTCTGTTTTCCCTCAAATGGAGTTGTGCACACTCTTCTGTGTCCTGCTTTTATCACGTGAAATAAATTTTAGTGCTGGCTAGTGAACAATCTAAATCTTTTTAACAACATATTTTACTGGACGGTCAGAATTTGTTAAACTAGTCCTTGTTGAGTTGTTTGTAGTCCTTTGTTATTTTAAATAACACTTCTCTAAATTTCCTTATGGATATGTGTTATTTGGTACCGAGAATCGAACTCAGGGCCTCGTGCTTGCCAGGCAGTCCCTGTAGCGATGAGCTACGTCCCCAGCTGGATGTGTGTTACTTGGCACACAGACGTCCCCAGTTACTTTCAGAAAACTCTCCTGTCCTTGTATGAAACCTGTGTTCAAGATTCAGAAAAAATCCTAATAGGAGGTAGTTTTTTTATAATGAGAATGAAATATCTAAAGATGCTTCTGGTTATAATTTTCCAGTAGTTGAACATACAAAATGCATTATAAGAATTTCATTTTTTTTCCCTCTCATCTTTGCATGGAAGATCTTGGTGCCTCTGGTTTTGCTACGACAGATGCTTTTGGAGTTGACAAGACGTGGTCAAGAGCCTCTGAGCGCACTGCTGCAGCTTGGCGTGGCATATCTAGAGGAGCACGCAGCGGAGTACATCATTCAGCAAGGCGGCTGGGTATGAGTTACTGCATATTTTTAAAAGATCTTTCCTTAAAAAGATTAATTTAAGCCCATTGTTTTTAACAGTGTGAACTTATCAGTATTGGATGATGATCAGTGGGAAGGATGTTCATACAGTTCAAGCTACAAAGATGTTTCTTATAGTAAATTGACTGTATTTCTCTTTCTCTCTTTTTTTTTGACACAGTGTTTTGCTATGTAGTTTAGACTGGCCTTGAACTCATGGCAGTCTTCCTGCCTCAGCCTCCCAAGTGCTGGGATTACAGGAATGTGCCACCATGCCCAGTGATACATAGTGCTTTTAAATAGTTCTTAATTTATGAAACATCTAATACCAGCAAAAATATGTAAATAAGGGCTGAAGAAGAATAAAATTAGCATCTATGTGTGTAACATCCCAGTCTAAGAACACAGCACATTTTGGTGGGGAGGAGAGAGGGCATTGTTCCATAGTGAACTCAGATCCTTGCACATGTAGTCAAGCAGTCTGTCACTGAGTTACCCACCCAGCTCACACAACCAACACTTTTTTGTGTGTATGATACTGGGGATTGAACCCAGGATCCGATGCATATTAGGCAAGTGCTCTATCACTGAGTTACAGCCCAGCCCTTGTTTTGTAGTTTGAGGCAGGAGCTTGCTAAGTTGCCTAGGGTAGGCTAAAACTTACATCCTTCGGTCTCCTGAGTAGCTGGGATTGCGGATGTGCATCACCATGCTTCACACAGCTAACACTTCTTTGCAGACAGGGTCTCACTATATTCAGGCTGACTTGGAGTTGGCGGGTAGCCTAGGCAACTTAGCAAGACCTTGACTCAAAATAGAAAATAAAAGTGACTCAGGGAATAGTGCAGGGCTAGGCCCCTGGCATGCGCTATGCCTGGCATGCGCTAGGCCCTGGGTTCAAGTCCCAGTACCAACTAACTAACTTAGAGAGAATTTCGGAAGGCAGCTGTGCTCACCACTATACCACCAGTGCCACTTAGGGATGATTTTGGATCTACAAAAGAGTTGAAAAATGACGGTTCCCATCTGCCGTCACCCAGTTTCCTAGTGCATTGGTGGTGAGCATGCGGCACATACAACACAGCAGGCTTTTTTTTAAAGAGAAAAAAAAATACAACAGAATTTCAGAACAAGATAATAGGAGGGTAACAATGGTTAATACATTGCGTATTGTTTTCTTTAAATTAGTCATTCAGAATACAAGATACAGGCATTTAATTGTCTAAACGATATTAACACAGAGCTTTCTTTTCCATGAACTAAGAGAAATTAGTAGTATAACTGTCTTAACTATTATAATTTTTTTCTTTTTTGGTACCAGGAATCAAAATCAGTACCTTGTGCTTGCCAGGGTGTGCCACTGAACTATATGCCCGACCCCTATTTATATGCTTTTTTGTTTTTGCTTTTCCTTTCTTTTTTTTCTCCATTCCTCCATCCCAGTTTCTCTTTCCTTTTGAAGTTTCTTCCCATTTTACAGTGTCTGTTGTACATTTTGGATCTTATTTACTCTTTCAGCTTCTGACATTAGGGAGACTATATGATGTTTACACATGTGAGTCTGATTTATTTCACTTATGAGTATGATCTTGAGTTGCATCCATTTACCTATAAAAGTCTCCCATTTGTCCTTCTTCATGGTTGAGTAATACTCCATTGTAGAAAAAGACCACATCTTTTTTATCCATTACTCAGTTGATGGGCATTTGGATTGTTTCCAAGAGCTAGCTATTACAAATTGTGCCAGCAGGCTGTTTGTACCATTGAAAGATCTGAAAGGTTCACCATCACTGCTATAGTATAACATCTTATATAACAGTGGTCCATTTGTCAAAATTAACAGGTTAATATTTGTATGTTAAATTAACTAAAGTCCAGACTTTATATAGATTCCACCCATTTTCCAGTAATACCTTTTTTTCTGTTTAGGAACTAATCCAGAATACCACATTGTTTTTCATTGTTTTGTTTCTGTTTTTGTTTTTTTTTGGGACAGGATCTTGCAACATAATTCAAGCTGGCCTTGAACTCACTGTGTAGCCCAGGCTGGCATCACATTTGTGGAGATCCTCCTGCCTCAGCCTCCCTAGTGCTGGGATTATGGGCATATGCCACCACACCTGGTTTACCACATTGTATTTAAAGACGTATGTTTTTATTAATCATAGGTATAAATAATAGCTCATTGTGGATATGTACTTCTTGAGCACCAAGAACTGGTAGCCTCTCTTCGTGTTTATAAGCCCTTTCTGTATTTCTTCTTTGAACTACCTTGTCTTCTAGTTATTTGCCCACCTCTATTGAGTAGTTTTGTTTATAGTAGAATTTATATATGTTAAATTAAACTTTTATCAGTTTTGTATTATAAATTTATGACTTGTAATCATTTTAGGTTATCCTTGACTAGAATTTACATCTTTCTGTATCATTTATAAGTCCTTTTATTCTGGTCAGGGGATTGAATTAAGGGCTTGAACATGCTAAGTATGTGCAGTGTTTAGCCTGAGCTAAACTCCCACCCAAACCTCCCTCTCCATCACTTACGCTCTCCTCCTCCTCCCCGCTTCCTCCACTGCGTTCCCCATCTTGTTTCTGTGTGCGTCACTGGGGATGGGGTCCAGGGCTCAGAGCATGCTCAGCAAGTACGCTTCCGTAAGCGACCCCCCCACCCCCAGGCTTTTCTTTTTCATTGTAAGACAGGTTCTCACTCTGTTAAGTTACCCAGGCCTCAAACTTGTGATGCTTCTGCCTCAGCCTTTTTTTTTTGGTGGGTTTTTTGGTTTTTTTTCTGGTACCGGGAATGGAACTCATGACCTTGCGCTTGCCACACAGGCACTGTGCCTCTGAGCTAAATCCCCAGCCCCAGTCTCAGCCTTTTGAATCACTTGGATTTATAGGCATGTGTCACCACATCTAGCTGCCTTTTTTTTTTTTTTTTTTTTCTCTTAAGAAAGCTTTTATTGCCAGGCGTGGTGGCGCACACCTGTAATCCCAGCACTCGGGAGGCTGAGGCAGGAGGATCACTGTGAGTTTGAGGCCAGCCTGGACTACAAAGTGAGCTCACAGCCAGCCTGCACTGCATAGTGAGACTGTCTCAAAAAGACCAAAAAAAAAAAAGAAAAAAAGCTTTTATTACCCCAAGGTCATAAATACAGTCTTTTATATTACCCTGTATACTTTTATTTTCAGAGTAATTGAGGATTGAACCCCGGGCCTCACACATGCTTATATTATTTTTACAACTTTATAACATTGGGTTTTTTCATTATAACCTGTGTAAAGTTATTGGTATGGTTTGAGGTAGGGGCCTAGTTTATAGATTATTTGGTGTCCCAGCACCCTTTATTTGTTCGTCTCTGCTTAACTCACTAAGAGTGCAAGTCCTGCCGTAATTCCAGTCTCCACACGTCTGTGTTCATCTGAGATGTGTATTCTGCTCCTTTGATCTGTTAAGCCAGCCCTAAGCTGCAGTGGCACGTCGTAATTACTTTAACTTTCGCTTTAGAATATGAATCTTTTTTCCATTTTCCTGTCATTCAGAAATACTGTAACTGAACTGGCTTTGTGTTTTTCGGTATAAAGTATATTTAGTTTTTCAGTATGAAGTTTAGAATTTTGTTGCCAAATTCTAGAAATTTTGTTTAGAACTGTATTGAACCTATGATTTTTGGGCTAGCTCACATCTTATCATATTAAGTCTTCTAGTTTATCAACACAGTATATACCTTCATTCATTATTTAATAAATTTTTTAGACACCCCCAGATGCTCTGAAATTTCTTCTATATAGGATTTATACAGTACATGCTTTGTTCTTCCCTTGTTTTTGATGTACTGTGATTTGAAGCCAGGGCCTTCACATTGAGCTACATCCCTAGCCTTTTAAAATTTAATTTAATTTAATTTATTTATTTCTGGGGGTCCTTGAACTCACCCTGTACCCCAGGCTGGCCTCAAACTCAAGGTGATCCTCCGGCCTCAGCCTCCTGAGTGCTGGGATTACAGCTGTGCCCTATCAGCTCAGCTTGATTTCTTGATAGTCATTCCTTCTAAAGTAAAGTTAGGGCTGGGGATTTAGCTCAGCGGCAAAAGCACCTGCCTGGCAAGCACAAGGTCGTGAGTTCGGTTCCCGGTACCGGAGAAAAACAAAAAACAAAAACAAAAACAAAAAGTAAAGTTAGTGGTACTGGGGGTTGAGTCTCAGGCTTTTCCACCCAGCTACATCCAAATGTTTTATTTCGCCGGGCTTGGTGGTGCACGCCTGTAATCCCAGCACTAGGGAGGCTGAGGCAGGAGGATCGTTGAGAGTTTGAGACCAGCCTAAGCTACATAGTGAACTCAAGGCCAGCCTGAACTACATAGTGAGACCGTGTCTCAAAAAAAAACAAAAAAAAACCCCAAAAATTATAAAATAAGGGCCAGGCTCAGATAAGGGTGGTGCACACCTGTAATCCCAGCACTCAGGAGGCTGAGGCCTGAGGATCACTGTGAGTTCAAGGCCAGCCTGGGGTACAAGGTGAGTTCAAGGCCAGCCTGACCTGCATAGTGAAACCCTGTCTCAAAAAGCTCCCCCCAAAAAATAAATAAATAAAATAAAATAAGGGCTGGATGTGGTAGTGTATGCCTATAATCCTAGCACACGGAGGCTGAGACAGAAGGGCTGCCATGAGTTCAAGGCCAGACTGGGCTACATAGAGGCCAGCCTAGAATACAGTGGCCTGTCTCAAAAGAACTGAACCAAACCGAACCAAATCTAAAACTAAACTAAACTAAACTAAAAGGCTGGGCATGTGAGTCCTTGTGTTTAATCCCCAATACTGGGGGGAAAATAGTTCCAGGAATGTATTACATAAAATTATACTGTAAGTGCTGGGTGTGGTGGCTCATGCCTATAATCTCAGCACTCAGGAGGCTGAGGAAGAAGGATCACAAATTCGAGTCACATCTGGGTAATTTAAGAGACTTAACAAGATTCTGTCTCAAATTTTTT